TAAATTATTGATTTGAGATCTTTCTTTCTTTCTCATGTATCTAGTGTTACGCATTTTTCTCAGCTTCACAAATTTTGATGTTGCATTTTCATTCAATATGGTTTTATTTTCAATGAATTATGTTTAAGTATGTTCTTTAATTTTAAAATTTCTGGATAATTTCCTGCTATCATTCTGTTATTGACTTCTAGTTTGATTACACTATGGTTATTTAATTTATTATTATTATTTCAGTTTTTAAAACATTTGTTCAGATTTGTTTTGTGGACCAGGATAGGTTCATGTTGTGAATGTTCCATGTATGCCTAAAAATAATGCGTATTCTACTGTTAATAGGTGGAATGTTCTATAAATGTCAGTTCAATTCTATTGGTTGATGTTACTGTTCAGTCTTTCTGTATCCTTACTGACTTTCTATCTAGTGAGTCTATCATTTGTTGAAAGAATGGTGTTGAAGTTTTCAACTATAAATATAGACTTGTCCATTTCTTCTTTCTGTTCTTTCAGTTTTTGCTTCAGGAAATTTGAAACTCTGCTATTTGCTCTGTACATATTTAGGATTGCTATGTCTTGTTTGTAGATTGACTCTTTAAACCTTATGTAACATTCTTCTTTGTCCTTGGTAATTTTCTTTGCTCTGAAGTCTGCTTTATCTAATATTAATATAGCTACTCTTCCTTTCTTTTGATTGTTTGTATGGCGTATCCTTTTCAGCCTTTTACTTTCAACCTACCTCATTGCATTAGAAATTAATAGTAATGTTTTTAAATCCATTTTGCCAATCTCTTTTAGTTTATATATTTAAACCATTTATATTTAATCTAATTATTGATATTTTGGGACTTCAATTTGATTTCTGTTTGTTCCCTCTGTTTTTTATTCCTTTGTTTTCCTTTTCCTATCTTCCTTTGAGTTACTTGAGCATTTTTTAGAATTTCATTTTATCTGTAGTGTTTTTGAGTGTATCTCTTTGTATGTTTATTTTAGCGGTTTCTTTGAATTATACATAACTTATCACAGTCTACTGGTGTCAACATCTTACTACCTCCAGTGAAATGTAGAAAACTAATCTCCATTTAGGTTCCTTTATCCTGCCCCTTAAATAGCCTCTTAAAAATTTTCTCTACATATATTGAGAACCATATCATACAATGTTACTTTGCCTCAACCATCAAAAATAATTTTAAACACTCAAGAGAATAGTCTATTAAATTTATCATATTTTACCTTTTCCGTTGTTCTTTCTTCATGTGTGATATTTCAAGCCTCCTTTTATCATTTCCTTTCTCTGGGGAAGAACTTTAGCAATTCTTTTATAAAAGTTCTATTGATAAAAATTATCTTAGTTTTCTTTCATGTGAAAATGTCTTATTTCACCTTCATTCCTGAAGGATATTATCATGGGATATAGAAATCTGGATCGAGGCTGGGCACTGTGGCTCACGCCTGTAATCCCAGCACTTTGGGAGGCCAAGGCAGGTGGATCACTTGAGGTCAGGAGTTCAAGTCCAGCCTGGCCAACATGGTGAAACCCCGTCTCTACTAAAAATACAAAAATTAGCTGGGTGTGGTGGCGGGTGCCTATAATCCAGTTACTCGGAAGACCAAGGAACGAGAATCATTTGAACCCAGTAGGCGGAGGTTGCAGTGAGCCGAGATCACGCCACTGCACTCCAGCCTGGGCGACAATGAGACTCTGTCCAAAAAAAAAGGAAAAAGAAAAATCTGGATTGGCAGATATTTTCTTTCAGCACTTGAAAACTGTCGTGTCACTTCCTTCTGACCCCCATGCTTTCAGATACAAAATCCGTTGGCATTCATATTGTTGTTCCCATAATTAATGTGTCATTTCTCTCTAGTTGCCTTCAGGATTTTTTTCTTTGTTTTTGCTTTTCTGAAGTTTGAGTATGCCATGGCTTGGTGTAGATTTCTTTGAGTTTTTCTTCTTTGGGGTTTGCTCAAGTTCTTGAATCTGTAAATTTATGTCTTCTGCCAATTTGGGAAATTTTCAGCCATATTTCAAGTAGTTTTTCAGTCTCTTTTTCTGGAACTTCGATGACATGCATGATAGATCATTTATTATGGTTCCTCAGGCCCCTGAGGCTCTGTTTATCTTTTTTTAACTCTATTTTCTGTTGTTCAGATTGGATAATTTCTATTGTTCTATTTTTAGTTTCACTAAGTCCTTACTCTATCATCTCTATTCTGCTATTGAGCCCATCCAGTGAGTTTTTCAAATTTTCATGATTGTATTTTACAGTTCTACAATTTCCATTTGGTAGCTTTTTAAAAAACTGTATTTCTTCACTGAGAATTTCAATTTTTTCATTTGTTTCAAGTGTGTTTGTAATGGCTAATTGAGGATGTTTATGATTGCCACTTAAAATCTGTTTCAGATAATTTCAACATCTGTGTCATTTCAGTGTTGGTATGTATTAGTTGTCTTCTCTCATTCAAGCTGACATTTCCCTGGTTCTTGGTTTGACAAGTGCTCTTTGTATTGTCCTGGACACTGGGAGAATTATCTTATGAATCTCCAAATGTTACTTAAATCTTCTATTTTAGCAGGCCTCCACTGACACCACACTGGTGGAGAAAGGGGCACATCACCTGGTTACTGCCAGGTCAAGGTGGCAGTCCAGAGATCCTGGCTTCCCACTAGGGCTTTGCTCACAGGAGAGGGGAATTTTTTTTTTTTTTTTGCTTGGTTTCTGTCTTTTTAGAGTGAACCTTTTCCTATCCTTTGGCTAGAGGTAACAGGCTTTTTTCAGGGCCTTTTTGTGTGTGTCTCTCACAATTGGCATTTCTGGCTTGCTGGCTTCTTTAGCACACAACATTCAGGATATAGAGGCGGCAGAAAGAAAACTCAGGGTCACGGTATTCCTCAGTTCCCAGTCAGTCGGCCTTCTTCTCTCCACCCTTCAGACTCTTATCTTTGTTTTATACATAATATTTGGAGTTTTTAGTTATACACTTTGTGGGAGGAATAAGGAGAAGTGCATGATTCCATCTTGTCAACTAGAAGTCAGCCCATCTGGCTAGGCGCAGTGGCTCACATCTGTAATCCTAGCACTTTGGGAGGCTGAGGCAGGCAGATCACCTGGGGTCAGGAGTTCGATACCAGCCTGGCCAACATGGTGAAACCCTGTCTCTACTAAAAATACAAAACTTAGCTGGGCGTGGTGGTGCATGCCTGTAATCCTAGCTATTCGGGACGCTGAGGCACGAGAATCGCTTGAACCCGGGAGGTGGAGATTGCAGTGAGCCGAGATCACACCACTGCACTCCAGCCTGTGTGACAGAGCTAGACTCTGTCTTTAAAAAAAAAAAAAAAAAAAAAAAAAAAAAAAAAAAAAAAAAAAAAAAAAAGTTGGCCCATCTGGAAATTGGTTTTTATTAAAGACTGAAATTTGACATGGTGTCTCTTTCTTTATGTAAGTAACCTGTTGTGGAGGCTAAAGTAACTCCATCTTGGATGCTAATCCACCATGTTGACTTGTGATTAACCTTGGTTCCAGGAATGCCTCTGAGATTTCCAGTTCATCTATTGTTCCTTGTGTAAGAGCACATCCTTACCATAAATTCTGCTCTTAGATCAAACTGCTACTCATTTCCTCTGAAGCACGTGTACCTTTTCCTTTGGTATATAATCCCTGGGTCTGGGGGTGGGGGCTAATGGCGTGGAGATCTACCTGCTTTGTAGCTGCTCAAGACCATACTTCTGTCCATAAGTTCCCTGATAAAATCATCCTGTGATGACAAGCTGGACTTCTCTGCCTCCTTCTTTGGTTTCTCAGCCCCTTCTGAGTTTGGGGGTCACTTTGCATATATAGCCCTTTAATGAAACGTGTACTAGCAAAATACTAAAGATTTATAGAAAGAGGCGGGGCACAGTGGCTCATGCCAGTAATCTCAGCACTTTGGGAGGCCAAGGCAGGTGGATCACTTGAGGTCAGGAGTTCGAGACCAGCCTTGCCAACATGGTGAAACCCTGTCTCTACTAAAAATACAAAAAATTAGCCAGGTGTGGCGGTGCACGCCTGTAATCCCAGCTACTCAGGAGGCTAAGGCAGGAGAATTGCTTGAACTCAGGAGGTGGAGGTTGCAGTGAGCTTAGATCATGCCACTGTACTCTAGCCTGGGCATGAGTGAGACTCCGTCTCAAAAAAAAAAAAAAAAAAAAAAAAAAAAAAAAAAAAAAAGACTTATAGAAAGGCCTCAAAGCATTTATGAAATTAGCTTTTCCTTAATGCTTAGTGTGACTCTCTATTGCACATTTTAAATCATCTTGAAACTGCCTTTCCCAAACTTTGCATCAGTAGTTCTATTAAGCTGATGGACAGTTTCACTCCATTAGAAAATGTCAAATTTGGTACACATCCAGGATCAGAGGAAGGATCACAGGAGAGCAAGAAACTGGTGACAGGACTAGTACAGACACACTGGAGTCAGCCCACTTTCCACTGCTCACGTAGAGTGACACAAGCAATGTGTTTAAATGAAAGAAGAAAAAGTTCAGGTGCCAAAAAGGTAGAAAGCTGGACTCACTGCCTATCTACAGCCTCAGTTGTATAGAATTGTCAGTTGCTGTTGACATTTTGCACATATGAACTGGTACATGAGTGAAGAATGGATGGGTACATGGTTGGTGCCTAAAGGTATGACTTCAATCCCAATTCCTCCCACACGCTACCCAGAAGGTTCCAGAAAGCCCTGTTCTCCTCAGCAGGTGCTCCACAACAGCAGCTACAGAAAGCACAGCCATGCTAACAGAGGCCCCTCAGATTTTTCCCATCTTCACCCTCACCCAATGACCTCTTGGGTCGTTTTCTCCTGGTCTGTCTTCACAAACCAGAAATGATTGATACTGATTCGGTATGGGTTTGGAAGATGATAGGTTTCTGATTTAAAAGGACTTATGTTGTCAGGGTCCAACAGACTTTCTTTCTGGGGATTTCTGTGTTCTGAAGTTCAGACATCCTTTGTTCCTTCCCTTCCAGGTCAGTCACCATGAACCAGGGCACTCGGCATGCTGCCTCAGCACTGGAGAAGCAGCGCTGTGGAGGCAATCTGTCACACTGTCAGACTCTGGGAGTTGACTTGCTACCAACTGCTGTGCAATTCTGCTGAGCAGGAATATCATGAGCTGTTCAATAATGACAGATGCATTGGTTGAGATGAAGTTTCCAGTAAGGAAGTGACAGTGCAATGTGGATATTTATGGCCGTAAAATAGGAAGAGCTTAAGTTCCCAGGCTGAACCTGCCACTGCTGGAGCCATTTCATTTCAACAAGGCGTCCTCACAACAAAGAAGAGATGTGATTTGGTACCATTTCACATCAGCAGGTGTCTGGACGAAAACATCAATGTGAATAAGGGCCAACTGCAGTCCTGTCTATCTTGATTAAATTACTTAATATCAAATAATAGGTCTGGGCAGTATTGTTTTTAACCTGACTCATCCGGCTGTCCTTCAAATAGCTCCGTCTACCCAGAACCGACTTTTAAAAAGTAATTTTTCTCCCTGGGCTGGGAGAACCCTAATGAACTGAAACACATTTTTACTTTTAAATTTTTCTATCTGGTGCTTTTGTAATTATACTATTAAATGACTTTGGAGTCATGTTAATGACAGGATGTGTTTTGTTTGGATGCAGTTCAATTGCATGGTTTGGGTAAAAGCTAGTCTACATACAGAGGAATATGAAGACTGTGGAAGAAACTGTATATTGGGTTTAAGAATTTCAGCAGTTATCCAGTAGGAACCTAAGTATTAAGCTGCAATGTCAAATCCACTTGCTTCAGTCTTACTAGTTGATGTTGCCAACAGTTGGTAATGCCTTTTTCAGGATTCTACATTCAAAGCCTGTTAAAGATGGTTACAGGCAAGGAGGAGTCACAGGCAGAGGCTAGATTTAAAGTATATCTTTTAACCCCTAATGCACATTTTAGAAAGTCTTAAAAATCTGTTGCTGTGATTTTTACATCCTTTTTTTTTTTTTTGAGACAGAGTCTTACTGTGTCACCCAGGCTGGAGTGCAGTGGCGCAATCTTGGCTCACTGCAACCTCCACTTCCCAGGTTCAAGTGATTCTCCTGCCTCAGCCTCCCGAGTAGCTGGGACTACAGGTGCGTGCCACCATGCCTGGCTAATTTTTGTATTTTTAGTAGAGACGGGCTTTCACCATGTTGGCCAGGCTGGTCCTGAACTCTTGACCTCAGGTGATCCGCCCACCTCGGCCTCCCAAAGTGCTGGGATTACAGGTGTGAGCCACTGCGCCCAGCCCTATTTTAAAACTGAATTTCTTCAAGCATCTAAATCACAGGCTAGCAGAAACTTCTGTTAAGGCCCAGATAGTAAACAGTTTAGTTTTTATGGGCCATATGATCTCTGTTGCAGCTCCTCAGCTTTGTCATCGTAGCAGGAAAGCAGCCACAGACAGTAAGCAAATCAATGAGCCTAGTCATGCCAATAAAACTTTATTTACAAAAAAAGGCAATGGGCTGGACTTGGTTCAGGAGCCAGCTGTAGTTTGCCAACCCCAGGCCTAAAGAAAGCTGGAGAGGAATAGTTACACCCAGAAAAGAACCTCTCAGTGAGGGAAACAGACTAAGAATAGTATCGCACTACAGCCTTCTACCAACAGATGATACTTTAAAATACAAAACAAAATTAGCTCAGCCAGTTAGTTGTTTTATTTTGAGTTTTGTTAAAAAAAAAAAAAAAGCTTTGAGAAAATGTGTTAAATATCAGTAAAGGGCAGGAACACACATGGCTAGCTTTACAATAACAATCTAAACATACACAAAGGCAAACATTGAGTAAAATGCTAGGGAAAGACAGCACTTTGGGGGCCTACTGCAGTTTTCCTTATTGCACATAAAGGTTGTGGATAACTCCAAGTCTTTAATTTTTCACAGTTATACTTTAATGTCATTTTATATAACATTTATTTATATAACATACTATAATGTTAATTTTATAAAACCACCAGTTTGCTACTGTTCAATGGAAATAGAAGACAAAATTCTCCCCAATTACAGTATGTAAGCTCTCTATAAAAAGTTCCCTAGGTCACATCATTCCATGTTAAATTCGTCCTATTCTATTTTAAAAATTGCTTTTCAGCTATTAAATGAATCTTGATGGCCTTCTCATTTAACTATTTTCATGGACATAGTACAACTTCACAAGTAAAAAGTGCCAGATGTATTTTATGTGAAAAACAAAAGGACAACTTAGGAGGAGCTGGCCCTACTATGAAGTCACACTTTGAACGATCAATTTCAGTGGTAAATTCCCAATCCGTAGACTTAACACCCGCACAACTGAAAACCATCCCTCTGCTTCTCCAAAGCCCACAATTGGAATAATCACAAGTCAGCCCCCAAATGTCCGTGCAGTTAAGTCATCCAGTAACACCTGAATTGTAGCCTCATTCAAGTGCTTGAGACAGCAGATGTTGAAGTTTCCATGCTGTTTACAAGTCCTTTTCTATCTGAGTTCCTCCAACATATACAGGCCCAGACAATTTTCCACTGGCCAATAGCTGACCGTGACATTTGGTGATTCTGTTAAGCCTTTTGAAAGGCGATCATCAGAAGGAGAAGGTGACTTCTGCTGTGTGTTCTCATGTCTGCTTTGGACCTTTTCAAAGGGCAGCACAGCAGACAGCCCTTCCTTTTCATCTTCTCCAAGGCTCAGGTAGCAGAAAGCCGGCTGCCTGTGTGTTCCATATGGGCCATGACTATAGTATACCCTGCTTACAAAAATAAGACTAACATCAAAAACTTTGGTTTTGCTCTTTACAATTTTTGCTAGCACTGGGTGACAAGGTGTGTTTAATTTTTTAAAAATGTCTATGAAAATTGAAACTGGAAAAAATTGTTTAGGTCTTGTTTTGAAAGGACTGTTGATGAGTCTACTTGCTTTTCCTAGTTAAGCCACTAGCACTGGTTTCTACAGTATTTCTCTATATGTTGTTTTCAGGTTTTAGAAACAGGGACGATCTTTTCAGGTATCAAAGTGGTAAAGGCAGTATTCAGATGGGTTGTTTCTAAACTACGACTCTTGGCCACTAGATTCCTTCGACTTCACTGTATCAGAATGTAGCAGCTGACACTGGCAAGCCAGAGTGTCAGTTAAAGAACAACAGAAGAGATCAGAACTCGATGATACCAGTCTAATGTATATGAAAGACTTTTTCCTGAACTAATGAATCTATAGAATCAACATCAAAAGGCAGACAAGAAACTTGTCAAGTTCCCCACTTTTGAAGTGGAATAAGAAGTCATATACTTGTGAGATCAGTAGGCTGACTTCCTAGCAGCCCTCATTGCAGATAATCTTTCACAACAGATGGTAAAATCAGCTTTCTGATACACTCTTAGAACTCACAACGGGTACATGGTAGGTTTCCAAGTGGGTGATTTTCACCTCTGATGAGATGCTCTAACACCCTGCCACTGTTTTTCCCCCTAAGTACATCAGTGGTGTTTCTACATTTGGAAATCACTTGTTCACATTAAACATCTGGTATGATTCCATTAACTTCCACTGCAGACAAGGACAGGGAGAGATAGGATGACGGGATGACGTGAAACAGACCAACAGACCTCTATTTTGGAACTGTTAGTTCTTTGCCCTAGACTGAATCATTCATGGATAGCTGAGATACCCTTTTGCATGTTTTCTAAAGAGATTCCATTTGTCAGCCAAACCACAGAGGACATTTTCGGGTTTAGAGAACACAGCCTGAAGAGCTCCTTGCTGTTTGCTTGATGAAACATTTGATGTCACAGTGTGATTTCTGCCTTCCAGGCATCAATGCTTATTTGTCTCATCACCCCAGTAACCACCCTGGATGCTCGGATCCATATGCCCTTCCTGTGCTTGTTTCCTAGGAAGAAATGTGGCCTTATTTAAATTCCAAATTTTCTTCTCTAGGAGAGAAAGTTTAGGTTTCTGGTAGTTCTCAAAAAGCGTACTAAAAGGAATAGCAGCTTTCATCTTCTCTCTGTCAAGGCTACACAAAAGTGTGCATCTCCTTAATCACCTGCTACAGAAACTACCACCATCACCATGTGATAGCAAAGGACCACAACCTTCTACTTTGCTCCAGCAGTAAACGGGCCCACCCTTACTCTGAGGAATCCAATGTGGACTCAGGCATGAGGCCAGGTGAAGGGAAAGAAAATCTGACTCCAGAGGGGACTATTAATTTAATTCCAGGTGAAATTAAAAACAAAACAAAACAGCTTCCCAGAAACCTTCATGCTTGATTAGTCAGCAGCTCAGTTAATACCTTCCCTTTATTCCCCACAAGTGGGAACCAAGATGGCAGGTTTTTAATTCTCCCCATACATACTCCAAGTCACCCTTCTCTCTCCTTGAAGACTCCAAGGTTTTCGTGATCTTTTCAGCTGTACTTTATGGAGTATGTTCTTGAGTTCTGCAAAGATTAGCATCAAACTCTCTCATAGCTGCCCAGCCTGTATTATTGGTCAATACTCAGTTCGTTTCACATGACTAACAATTTAAAAAAAAAAAAAAAAAAACCTTCATCTGCTAGACCATTCTTTAAAATCAGATTCCAAATAGGGTCTGCTGCGAGCCCTAGACTAAAGGCTCTTGTCAATCCTGGCTGCACATCAAGGACACTCCTGAGGTTCCAAACAAAGCATGGATTCCAGGTCCCATCTGAAGCTACTGAATCCGAATCTCTGAGGGGAGGGCCCTTGCACTGATTTAAAAACAAAAACTGGCCAGATGATCCTAATTTACAGCCAGGGTTGAGAACCTCTGCTCTAGAACATCGGACTCTACTGAACTGTCATCCCCGCCAACCCAGAACAAATACGTGTATAAGATGACTTGGGTTTACTCTCTTGGAAGAACTTTGTTTAGTTGGATGTACCATTACTTAGCAGTTTCAATCTGATCTTATGCCAGACTGGCAGCAGATAGTTGGCCTCGTGTTGAATGATGCCTGGGCTTTGTGGCACTCTACTTTTCTCCACACGGCATAGGCAAAATGCTTCTAGATGTGGAACCACTTGATGAATGGATTCACATTCCCAGGACCCCTGGTAAGGTCAGGGTTATTCTCCACAAACTACAAACAAAAATTAGGACCAAAGGTCAAAAATTAGGACCAAAGTGCCTTACTTTGATTCACCAAATATTTGTCATCAAATAAGGACTTAGAACACTGGAAAGCAGTTCTGATTCCAAATGGCTAACAGCTCGGGGTTAGTGACAAAGGCAAGAAAGGGAGACCAGCCTGCATTTCCAGCTTCCTAACATACAAAGAAAGGCCGGGGTAGGGTTACTAGACAAATGCTGCATCTAGGTTCTGGGCCCTCTCTTCCCTGGGTAGGCCTTCTGGGTGGGCCTCCTGCCCTACACAAACCGTCCCTAACCCACCTTGTTTACATTTAAACTACACTGTCGTAGACAGCAATTCAGGGAAGAGGACAAGCCATAATTAGGATTTCCTCCCTGTTTCTCTTGTCATCTCCCCACAGGAAAACCCTGATGGGAAGCCCGCCCCTCTAGTTTTGGTCTTGGCAAATCTACATTTCCTTGTATGTGAGTAGATCAGAATCAAATGTTTGCAGTGAAGACTACAAGACCCTTTGGGGATAAACACAACACTCTATGAATTGAACGAAGACTAGGAAGGGAAACTGGGTGGTTATTTTTCTTCCGTAAGAGAGTCATTTCTTGTAATCTTGTAAAAGCTTTCTAAAAACAAAACAAAAAAACAAACAAAACAAAACAAAATAATGGCTGGGGGCGGTGGCTCACACCTGTAATCCCAGCACTTTGGGAGGCCGAGGCGGGTGGATCACGAGGTCAGTAGATCAAGACCATCCTGGCCAACATGGTGAAACCCCATCTCTACTAAAAAATACAAAAAAATTAGCTGGGTGTGGTGGTGGGCACCTGTAATCCCAGCTACTCGGGAGGCTGAAGTAGGAGAATCGCTTGAACCTGGGAGGTGGAGATTGCAGTAAGCCGAGATCATGGCACTGCACTCCAGCCTGGGGGATAGAGCAAGACTCCATCTCAAAACAAAACAAAACAAAAACACACACACACAAAAACAAACAACAACAACATAACAACAAGGCCTTGAGGTGAACAAAGAACCATCACCAGGGTGTGTCTGTTAGCGGTTTCCCTCCAAAATTAAGTAAGCAATATAAGATAAGCAAAGCTTTATAAAGACCCAACCAAAGAGCCAAGCAGCCTATCTCTCCATCTCTGCAAAACAAAAACAAAAATGAAAACAAAACAAGCCTTGCCTTTTAGATTTATATGGCATGACTGGTCATTACTGACTCTGCTAAATAAAAAATCCTGTGCTGGTTCTGGACTCCAGCACATAGATAATACAGGCCTCTGCCATGCCTGGTAGCTGCTGTCTGCAACTTCACCCCAGGATATAAGAACTTCCCTTCCAGGGGCTATGAAAGCTCTTTCTCTGGCTGTGGGGTGGGGTGTAGGTCTTATTCTTAAGTCCTTCACTAGCCTAGTTAACCCTGAGGCCTCATGGGTTTGAGTAGGTTGTTTAGCATTTTTCAAACTTCCAAAAACCATGGATGACCATACAATCAAAATGAACTTTATTGTAGATAAAAAGGAAAGAGGAGAATAAAAATCATTCAACTGTATTTTTTTTTTTTTTTTGAGACAGGGTCTCATTCTGTTGCCCAGACTGGATTGCAGTGGCATGATCTCAGCTCACTGCAACCTCTGCCTCTTGGGCTCAAGCAATCCTCCTGCCTCAGCCTCCCAAGTAGCTGGAACTACAGGCATGTGCTACCATGCCTGGCTCATTTTTGTATTTCTGTAGAAACAGGGTTTTGCCACGTTGCCCAGTCTGGTCTTGAATTCCTGAGCTCAAGTGATCCTCCTGCCTCAGCCTCCCAAAGTGATTATGGCCATAAGCCACTGTGCCCGGTCTCAATTTTATTTTATTGAACCATATGAAATTCCCACTACTGTTTTTACAAAATGGTCAAATATCAGCAAATTCATATGGCTCAACCTAATTAAATAGGTATTTTCCTGATTTGCACAAATTATCAATTCAAACACAAAGTTGTAAAGCAATGTCTTATTTAAAAATTAAGCATTAAACATGAGAATTGAGAAGATTAAATGGCTGATTTCACTATGGGTGGACTAGACTGGGACACTGTTTTGTCTGCCATCATAAGAAAAACTGGCCAGTATGGTGAAACCCCGTCTCTACTAAAAATACAAAAAATTAGCCGGGCGTGGTGGCGGGTGCCTGTAATCCCAGCTACTCAGGAGGCTGAGGCAGGAGAATCGCTTGAACCTGGGAGGCGTAGGTTGCAGTGAGCCGAGATCGTGCCACTGCACTCCAGCCTGGGTGACACAGCGAGACTCCATCTCAAAAAAAAAGAAAGAAAGAAAAAGGAAAAAAAAAGAAAAATGCCCACATTATTGAAAGCATTTTTTTAGAAATTGGGTTGCCAGAAAAAAGCTAGCACTGAAGCACAGAGACATGGGGAGAAACTCAAACTTTTCCCGAGAGGTCTTTCTGTATTTCAGCACTACAGGTGTAGACAGACAGAACAGCTCATCCAGAAAGAACCCAAACTGAAAACCTAACTTTCAAATCACACCCACATGTTAAGCTGGTGCAGCAACCTCCCCAGATATAAGGAAAATGACCCTTCTCTGCATGGCACTCAGTGGCGTAAAGACACTCGGATTCTTAAGCTCATAGAAGACACAACTTTCTAGTGAGCTGAAAATACTTAATGTTCCATTGTCTGCCCTCTGACTCCTCAGGTGGCCACTGAAATCTCATGCATTCATCAGCTCAAAGTTTGGAATTCTACCCAGTCTTGAGACTACTGTGTTATATTACTTTGCAGTTAATTTTTTTGCATTGGGATTTCTTTCCCTCTGAATTCTAGCCTGGTGCCTTGTAGGTTTCTTGCTGCCTTCTCTTGCCCAGATGATAGCATCCTACAAAATGTGGTGTTACTTCTAAACCCACAGTACATACTTCAGTCCTAGTGATTATTTCCCTAGGCTGTCAGCTCATATGGCAGCCCTCAGAAGTTGAATGCTGGCTGGGTGCAGTGGCTCACACCTGTAATCCCAGCACTTTGGGAGGCCAAGGCAGGTGGATCACAAGGTCAGGAGTTTGAGACCAGCCTGGCCAACATGGTGAAACCTCGTCTCTACCAAAAATACAAAAAATTAGCTGGGCATGGTGGTGGGCGCCTGTAATCCCAGCTACTCAGGAGGCTGAGACAGGAGAATCACTTCAATCTGTGAGGCAGAGGTTGCAGTGAGCCGAGACCACACCACTGCACTCCAGCCTGGGCGACAAGAGCAAAACTCCATCTCGAAAAAAAAAAAAAAAAAAAAGTTGAATGCTTTTTGCAGTGGTACCATCATCAGTTTCTAAATACCTCCTTTCCTCAGATTAATTAAAAAATAAGAGTATAACACTATTTGCCTTTGGTTTTAAACATTTCATAACTACTTCTTTATGGATATCACCAGAGAAGGAACTATAATTCTTTGTTCCATGTTGAAATGTTCATGGATGTATTTTCAAATCTTCAGTCTAGAAAAAACACAGGCAGCATAAAGTCAGGAATGCTGATATGAGGTTGCAGTCAAGCAGCCTTCGTTGCCAGAGCCTCCACTCAAATTGCTTTTTCATGTTTTCTGTCCCATTTAACACCAGTTTCCCATAATCCTTGGAGTTCCGATCTCAATTGCCTTCCTTCTCTTTAACTTGATATTTCTATGGTCAGCTTGACTTGCACTGCTGTGTACTGAGATGCAGCCTCTCATGGGAGGAATCCCCCGCCCAGCACCTGCCTCGCCTTGTTCAGATACTGCAGGTGAATGAATTAGGAGACCATTAAAGCATGCTATTTTTTTGTTTAACTCTGAAACAGCGCACTATGTGAAAAAAAGTGGGAATAGGTCTATATTTGTCTGAATTTAGAGACACTTTTGCCTCACCATCTGCATTGTGAATTAAATTTTAAGTGTTACGATAGCTTCAGACTCCAATAAAATAGAAGAGTTAGTTCAACCTAGTCACTGCCCCACCTCAAACAACACTAGGCCGTCCTCACCCAATCGGGAGCCTACCCCATCGTGCCAGGGTTTGGGGGGAAAGTCAAGCATTATCTTCCAGAGGAAACACTAGGCGGGTGCCCCGGCTCGAAACCTTCTGGTCTCCCATTCCCAGGTCTCGCTCCAGCACTTCCTCCGAGCTGCTCTTCGTTCTCCGGCTGCCCTCCAGACTCGTGGAGGCGGTGTGCGAACTTGAGGAGCCATTTGCAGTCACTGTGCTGTCCCCGTACGTCAATGTCAGGTCGCCTTCGGTCAGGATGAAATCGGAGTCTTCCTCTCTCAGTGGCTCTTGGTTCTGAAAAGTGCAACCAACAACAACAACAACAAAAATGAGAGACTGATATCTTCCAGGTTTGGCACCAACCCTAACCCCAATCCCAACTCCTCATCTGAAAACTGGGGATTATGAAACTTGCCTGCCTTGAGCCTCTAGTGTGGTAACTGGACGCAAACTGTAGAGGGCTAGGCACAGTTGCCAGGACTAGGACTTAGAATACTAGAAAACAGTTCCTGATTTCAATGTCTGACAGCTTGGGGTTAGTGAAAAAGGGAAGAAAGGGAGACCAGCCTGGATTTCCAGCTTCTCAACACACAAAGAAAGGCCAGAGTAGGGTAACTGGGCAAACGTTGCAAACAGGTTTTAGGTACTGTCTTCTCTGGGTAGGCATTCTGGATGGGCCTCCCGCCCTATACAAACCGTCTCCAACCCGTCTTGTTTACATTGGAACTACTCTTTGTCCTAGACAGTAATTCAGGGAAGAGGACAAGCCATAATTAGGATTTCCTCCCTGTTTCCCCGGTCATCTCCCCACAGGAAAACCCTGGTAGGAAGCCCACCCGCCACATCCTCAGGTGGATGAATCAAATGATCGAGGGAGAGCAAAGTCGCAAGCACTTGAACTATCAGATGGTAGCAAGAGTGCCGGAGACGGCATGAGGTCAGACAGGATCTTCTTCCTCCAATGGATTTAACCAACAAAACAAGGGCAAGGCCACAAACCAGCTCCCCCGCTGCATTGAGGCCTATTGAGTACTGTGCACTGCCTTCTAGAAGGGCAAACACAGTGTCAAATACGCTGGGTAAACTGATTTTTTTCTCTCCTTTTTCCCACTGACCCTTCAAAGCTGATCTGAAGTCCTGTATCCTCTTATGAGACAGTCTCTGGGGTGCCGAACTGGCCTCTCTGACCCCCTCAGGGCCCTCGCACAGTCACACTGCCCAAGGCCATGGGCAGATTCCCCCAGGTCAGTGCCTGGACTCCCCATCTAGGTGAAAAACACCAAAGGGCAGTGACCTCCTTCTCCACACCTTGGCACCTTCCTCAATGGTGCTTACCTCATAGTAGGTGCTAAGTGAATGCTGGGTAAATGCACCAGCTAGGGAAGACTCATGGGTTGAGTTTCCTCTCCCAGACTTATGTCTGTGTACTCACTGGCGCCAATCACATACTTGTTTTCTGCATTCTCAGTGATGTCAGCTTCTCCACACACAGCCTACAGTGTGACTCCACTTAACTAATGCTTCAGCATTTTTGACAAGCAAGCACGCAACTCCTCTCACTTGCTGCTTCATATCCCCACTGGAATGAAGCAGGGTGCAAATGCCCAATGAGATAAAAGTCCTGTATTCAGGCAGATGCTCAGAGCATAGTTCTAAAACTTGCTCTAAGCTCCCAAATTTCCTCTTTACCAGTGTTTAGAAAGTCCTGAAACTCGATCTGCTTTACAGTAGCCTTCCTTCTTTCTCTTATTTTTTGGGACGGAGTTTCACTCTTGCCACCCAGGCTGGAGTGCAATGGTGCAATCTTGGCTCTCTGCAACCTCCGCCTCCCAGGTTCAAGTAATTCTCCTGCCTCAGCCTCCTGAGTAGCTGGGATTACAGGCATGTGCCACTACACCCGGCTAATTTTTGTATTTTTAGTAGAGATGGGAGTTTCACCATGTTGGTCAGGCTAGTCTCAAACTCTTGACCTCAGGTGATCCTCCCGCCTCGGCCTCCCAAAGTGCTGGCATTACAGGCATAAGCCACCACGCCCAGCCAGTAGCTTATGTCTCCCATCCGAATTTCCAGCTCCCAGGGAGTTCACCTTCCCTGTCTCAGCACATCCCAGTTCTCCCATTCATACATGTGCAACATAATGATTTTGTTCATCTCTGTCAAAATCTCTCTGCCAGGGCTCTTGGCTTCCAGTTTTCAGGGAAATGGTCCTGGCACATATTTTACTGCTTCAAGCTTTGGAGCCATGGAAGGACAGAGGCAAACATGGGACAACTGCAGGTGAGAGTAATTCTGCAAATGAAAGAAAGCCCACCAAAGCACCACAGAGGAAACCCTGGGCATGAACTGTGATGTGGTCCGCTTTCACTCTTTGCAGAGGGAAGCAGAGCCTAAATTCATTGATAGGAGAAAACAAAACTGGATGTCAGCCCGTTGCATTTGCGAAACTCCCAAGCCCAGACATAGTACCCAAGGAAAGGTCATTCAGAAACAAGGCCATAGTAAAACCCATGGAGGCTGGGCGCGGTGGCTCACGCCTGTAATCCCAGCACTTTGGGAGGCCAAGGAGGGTGGATCACGAGGTCAGGGGTTCGAGACCAGCCTGGACAACATGGTGAAACCCCATCTCTACTAAAAATACAAAAATTAGCCAGGCGTGGTACTGTGAACCTGTAATCCCAGCTACTCAGGAGGCTGAGGCAGGAGAATCGCTTGAACTGGGGAGGCAGAGGTTGTAGTGAGCTGCGACTGCACCACCGCACTCCAGCCTGGATGACAGAGCGAGACTCTGTCTCAAAAAAAAAAAAAAAAAAAAAAAAAAAAAAAAAAAAAACACCCATGGAGAGGCTGGGCGTGGTGGCTCACACCTGTAATCCCAGTACTTTGGGAGGCCGAGGCAAGCGGATCACTTGAGGTCAGGAGTTTGAGACCAGGCTGCTCAACATGGTGAAACCACGTCTCTACAAAAAATACAAAAATTAACCAGGCATAGTGGCACGCAGCTGTAATCTCAGCTACTCGGGAGGCTGAGGCACAAAAATCGCTTGAACCTGGGAGGCAGAGGTTGCAGTGAGCCAAGATGATACCATTGCACTGCAGCCTGGGCAAGAGAGCAAGACTGTATGAAAAAACAAATGAACAACCCATGGAGAGTGATTCTGACATCAAAGCCTAATAATGTTACATGCAGATGATAAAACCAATCTGCTCCCTTGAATTCTAGATGATAGGATTGACACAAGTTTGTTTTGTTACGCTGAAGGTCTGTATAATCATGTAACTAGCTGTGCAATGAAGTCTGCTATGAAAATGCAGTGAAATCACCATGAAAACACCTGCAAACAACAGTGTGTGGGGACATGTGCATTTTAAATAACCAGAGGTCATTTTCAAAAGTGAAAGAACATTGTTAGGAAGGTGGATACCACACCTAAGTGGTTTAACGTTAGTGGAAATAATGACTGATGAACATCTTAGAAATCTCCAAATAAACTTGGCAAAGTAGAAAACACCTTTTAGATGGTTGGTAAGAACCATGCAACAGGTGTCAAAAGCCATGAGAACTGCCCAATCTGAGACCCTCACCCAGCACTAAACTTTGCAGTGAGCCCCTTCACCTCTGTCAATTTTGGGTTCCTCCACTGATAATTTTGAAGAGACCCTTTGCTCCCACTGTCTCAGCAGCAGGCCCCACCATGTCTGGAGCTGGCTGAGACCCTAGGCAGGACCCCGGCTAAAAGCAGCAGCAGCAGCAGCAGGACTGAGGGTGATTCTCACTAGAAGCCCAAGTCACTCAGTCTTAGGTTGGCTGTGGGGAGTCACAGCCGAAACATGACCCCCCGAAGCAAACTTGGAGTGAGTCCCTTGAACTGCTGGGGGAAGCACTTGAAATTGATACAATTCTAAGCTTACTGAGTTTACGCCGAGTTCAAACTAGTCCGGATATTCCTAATCTATGGGCAAGGGACTGGTTAGTAAGCTTCAGATTACATAAGGTTTTTATAAAGTTTTAATAGTAGATTTGTTGTTTTACTATTACATAGACATGAAAAGTGATCCTTATTAAAACCCAATTAAGATGGAAAGTTTTACAAAGTGTTTAGAAGAGACTAGAGTTAGAAGACAAATTTATATATATAAACCCAGTGAAACTTAAGATCAGAAAGTGTAATCACAGTTGGGGCTTCATTAGTGGGAGAAGTGGAGATGCCGTCAGCACCCTTAGTCTCCGATGATGTATGTAAAGGGTCCCTACTACCACTTTAGACAGCGGGCCAAACTGAGCAAACCAGTCAGCATTCAGCACAAGACAGCTTTTCTTAAGTAAGCTAGTAGCAGGATGAAAAATTACAAAACTAAGTTTTTAATCTATTAGTCTGTGTCCTTCTAACCTAACAGGTAACTAGCATTATTATTTAGGCTGAGACATATTACATTTAAAACTTACCACAAGCATTAGACATCACTTTACAAACTGGGAGCAGTTCTAGGGAAATGGTGTTCTCACCATCCTACATATTTCTTTTTGTCATTTAAAACCAGTTTATCGCAGGTGGCACAGGAATTTCATTTTTATATGGGGAGGAGCCGTGGGTGTTGAAAGTTCAACTGTCTTTAAGAGAAAGACACATGAATGCTGCTGTCACATTTGGTGAAATTTCCAAGCAACAGCTGTGGCAGAACTACATTTTTACCAGGCAGAACCTGCTCCGAAGCGGGCGAAACCCAGCAGCCCAGCTGAGTTTCTAAGCGTAAAGTTCTGTTGTTGCCTACCAGGACTTTTCAATGGTCACCTTCCTCTGAGGGGGCCAAGGAGGGGTCCGAGGGCCTAGGGATGACAGACACACAGAGCTTACTCTCTGCAGCAGCGGGTTTAGGACACACGGTGACTTGGCAGTTGTCATCCCTGTTCTTGAAGGAAGAGTGTGCCATTTAAAGAGCTGCATCCTCCAATCTCGGCTGCTCTGATGTGGCTGCCCTTCTCTTCCGCCCCAGCGCCCCCACCTAGCTATGGTGTCCACATCCCTTTCCCCTCTGTACCACATGAATGTGCACTGCCTTTCCTAACCCTGCTACCCCTCGTTAGAACTTAACCTGTTTAGGGCCGTTCTCTTTCAGATCTTGGCTTTGTGTTCTGCCTCCTCATCACCAATCAAGTAAACTGCAGGTCATTTGCCAAGAATGTGAAGACCTGCATGAGGGTCCCAGCTAATTACTAACTGTGAGCTCGGGGCCAACTCACATCCTCTCTGAGATGCACTTTCCTTCTCTGTAATGCTGCAGTGCTTGCTGATTCACGGTATGACCCAAAGAATGAACTTAGCCTTTGTGAACTCTAGAGCTGTATGCAAATTTGAGAAATTCTTTTCTTCCAGGGCATAATGACTGTGTTAGGGACAAGATGATTAGGATGGCCAAGGAGGGATGAAGGAAGGCCTTTGACCTCTCCTCTACTCCTTCCACGTGGGTAGCTACCTTGCTCTCTCTACCTCTCTGCCCTGCACCCTGCAACCCACACCAGGAGTTCAGGAGTCAGCCCTAAATCTAAGATGTCCACCAGTGTACATGTTCTTTTCATACTGTGCTGAGTCTATTTCCAGAATCTGAAAATGGAAAGAAAGGGCCTAACCATATCAACATAAACTATTTAGAAAAGGAATCCTTGCATGTTTTGTGGTTCAGGGTATCTTCATGTATTTCATCATTTAATGCTTCCAGCCAGCCTGTACTACTAGGCCCATTTTATAGATTAGAAAACTGAGATGTAGGCCTGGAGCGGTGGCTCACGCCTGTAATCCCAGCACTTTGGGAGGCTGAGGCGGGTGGATCACGAGGTCAGGAGTTCAAGACCAGCCTGGCCAACATGGTGAAACCCTGTCTCTACTAAATTAGCCAGGTGTGGTGGCAGGTGCCTGTAATCCCAGCTACTCAGGAGGCTGAGGCAAAGAACTGCTTGAACCCAGGAGGCAGAGGTTGCAGTGAGCTGAGATCGTACCACTGTACTCCAGCCTGGGTGACAGAGTGAGACTCCGTCTCAAAAAAAAAAAAAAAAAAAAAAAAAGAACTGAGATGCAGAGCACATCTATGGCCTGTCAGGGGTTGCGTTCCAATCCAGTGGCTCTGATTCCAAATCCAGTGTTCTTTCTACTATACCACAGCTGCCGATGTTGGGGAATCCCATTACCCTGGTAAAAGGTTTCTCTGTTACTGTGCAAAATCTATAAACATAGGTAAGTTGGCCAATCAGCTTATTAGAGAAGCAAAAATCTGTGGATTTGGAGGCATAAGTATGATGGTTTCTTCTTCTTATGTAAGACACTGCCCTGGCATGGTGACCAGGACTCCAACCCTGACATGCAGTACTTACATCATACACCTGGGGACTGGTCAGACATCGAGCCAGCAAGCCACACCAGGCAGGGAGCGTGGTGGTTAGTGGGGGGCCGCTGTGTGTGAGGATGGGCTTCAGGTAACTTTAAAATGGGAATTAAGGAAAAATGGCTGCAAAGAAAACATATACACAACAAAATGTGCTTAAAAATCGCCCGACATTCCACCCACAAAAACCTTCTTTTCCCCATTTTACTAGTACAATACACAAAATACTTGTAACATGCAACAGTTTGAATCAAAGAGTAAGATACACCCTATCAGCCTTAAATAGTAACTGTTAACTCTTGGGTTGGTAATTCCCAATTTTCAGTTCAAACGTGTATTTGATTAATTAGAAATTAGATCCCCCTTCTCCCTTTGTCATGCTGAATGTAAGTTTTGGTTTCAATCAGCATTTCAGCCTCTGACACACAACTGGCTCCAGGCCTTGGAAACAGGAGATAGTGTCCCTGGAGTGGGGAGCTGCAGCCCCTGTGTCCCCTCTGCTCTTGTTCTCTGCATGGATTCCTGTTAAGCCACTCTACCCAGAGGGCAGGTGGTGGAAATGTTGAAGTTGGACAGGACCTTAGGGGTAGCCTGGGGCTACTACAAAGGCAGAAACTGAGACTTGGCAACATCAAATGATTTCAGTAAGGTTACTCAGACTGTAAATCTCTCAACTTCCCATACAGGACCATTCTTCACTCTACCCATAGCTTCTCTCCTAGACGCTAACACAAGGCTTTTCAACCTCAACACTACTGACATTTAGGGCCAGATCATTCTTTGTTATGGGGGCTGTTCTGTGTATGGTAGGATATTGAGCAGCATCCCTGGTCTCTACACACTACAGATGCCCCTCGACTTATGATGCAGTTACATCCCAATAAGCCCATTAGGTTGAAAATATCATAAGCCAAAAATGCATTTAACACACCTAACCTACCAAACACCACAGCTTAGCCCAGGCTACATTAAAGGTGCTCAGAACACTCACATTAGCCTACAGTTGGGCAACATCATCTAACACAAAGCCTATTTTATAATACAGTATTAAATATCTCATGTAATTTATTACATACTGTACTGAAAATGAAAAACAGGATGGTTGTATGGGTATTCAAAGTATGGTTTCTACTGAACGCAGATCAATTTCACACCATATTGTAAAGTTGAAAGAAATGCAAATTAAAGCCATGATTAAATACCACTACAAACCCAATAGAATGGCTAAAATTAAAAAGACTGACAACACCAAATGTTGGTGAGGATGTGGAGTAACTGGAACTCTCATACACTAGAAGTGACTGTGTAAAGTAGTACCACTATTTTGGAAAACTGGCACTGTCTTCTAAAGTTGAACCTACCCATGCCCTATGACCCAGCAATGTTACTCCTGGGTAGATTACCAAAAAAAATATGTATATGTACATCAAAAGACATGTACATCAATAATAGAATAAATTGTAATATATTTATATAAGAAATACTATGGAACAATGAGAACAAATGAACTAGAACTACACATAACAACATGGCTGTATTATACACATGATGTCAAGCCAAATAAGCCAGACACTAAAATATATATACTATATAATCCTATTTATAGAAAGTTGAAAAATAGGTAAAACTATTAAGTGTTGCTAGAAGTCAACAGAGCAATTACATTTGGGGAGAGGGAAGGAGTAGTAATTGAGTCATGGCATGAAGGGGTTGGCAATTTTGTTTCTGTCTCTCTTTTTTTTTTTTTTTTTTTTGGAGACAGAGCCCAAGTAGCTGGACTACAGGTGTGTGCCACCACACCTGGGTAATTTTTGCATTTTTTGTAGAGACAGGGTTTCATCATGTTGCCCAGGCTGGTCTATAATTCCTGGGCTCAAGTGATCCACCTGCCTTGGCCTCCCAAAGTACTGGGACTAAAGGCATAAGCTACCATGCCCAGCCTTGGTAATTTTGTTTCTTGGTTGGTTTGGTGTTAAATGAGTGTGTTTATTTTGTGATAATTTACTGAGCACTTATTATTTGTGTACTTTTCTGTATATCTGTCATACTTCAATAAATTTTTAACATTTTCAGCATCTCCAAAGACCATATATAATAAGCCACCTGCCCATTTGATGACTATGTCAACTTAAGAAACCATGAGGGGTTGGGCGAAGTGGCTCATGCCTGTAATCCTAGCACCTTGGGAGGCTGAGGCGGGCAGATTGCTTGAGCCCAGGAGTTTGAGACCAGCCTGGGCAACATGGCGAAACTCTCTCTCTACCAAATATACAAAAAATTAGCTGGGCATGGTGGCATGCACCTGTGGTCCCAGCTACTTGGGAGGCTGAGGTGGGAAGATTGCTTGAGCCCGGGAGGGGAAGGTTGCCGTGAGCCGAGTGCACCACCACACTCCAGCCTGGGCAACGGAGTGAGACCTCATCTCAAAACAAAACAAAACAAAACAAAAAAACCAAGAGGGTTTAAGATTTTGGTTTTTAATTTTCACGTGAGAGCAAGTGAATCTACAGGAACAGGGTTTGCCCTGCATGTGGTCCAGTTATGCCAATGTCAGATCATACAAGATCAGACTTGGCCAAGTTCATCCAATAGGAATTATCCTCCCCATAGGGATTAACAGCTGAAGTTCTACTTCCTTTTCTGACCACAGCATGATTCATTGTGTAATTTTAATCTAATCACCTAAAAAGGCATAGTTCCCTGGACACAAAGCTCTTAAGAACTACATGAGTCTGCCAGGTTGTGGGGTAATTACTCTAAGGATATGCAAACATTCCTCTTGGCCAGATACTCACCAGGACTACCCATGGTTGAATGCTCAATGCACATGTTCCATGAGAGGACGAACTATCCCTGTCCCAAGCATGCATCTTTCCTTACTTACCAGGTGTCATTCACTGACAATTCAACAAGATTTCATCCCCAATGTTTCACTGACACAGGGGATGCTACTTAAAAGGATACTTGTGATCAAAGCTGTACCACAGCCTGAATATCCATGCGCTCTCCTGTTTTGTCCGGTTTCCTCTGGCAGAATCTGGGCCGTCCTGGGAACAAACAAGAGGGCACATGCTTAGTTGTACAAAAGGGATCTCAAAGAAAGGGGAGAAAAAACTTTTAAAATCACTTGTATAGCTCTGGAGCTCACAGTCAAACATCCCATGTCAGCAAACTTTCAAAGATATATTGGGAGGTAGCATTTGAGCAGAAATTAAATAAACTCAAAAGGCAGAAAAACAGTCTCCCAAGTAAAAAGGCTGGGTTATGTCTGTGGATAGCTCAAACTCAATTTTATTGCAATTTTCCTCGAAGTATCTTTCAGCAGATTCATTACCCTAAAATAGTCTAGATCCTAACAGGCCAAAATTGATTTATAGAGAATATTTTTAAAAGCTTTTTTAAAAGCAACTTTCCAATCCCCATCCCCAAAGCAGGCCTGTGGAAACCACATTTTGTTGAGTATCCTGACAAACTAGTTAAGGCTTCTCTGTGGTCCTTACCCAGAGGGACCTACACTGTGCTCCAGGTGGTAAGGTACTTGTTTCCCCACCAGTTTTAGGAAGGTGGGATCAGTGAGCAGGGGAAATGAGCCCAAACTAACAATTCTGTTATTTTATCTACCCTCAAGTAGCAAGTTCCTTGCTACTCTCATGCCCTTCCAATTTAAACATCCCCACCTTGTAACTTTCAAAATAACCTGCAAAATCAAACATTCATTTAAGGTTTAGGAAATCTGTTCTGTGCAAGTATCAGAAGCAGCACAGTTAATATAAAACTCAGATCGACTGCAGCAATTTGAGGGTACTACTGGGGCTCTGAAAGCACAGACTGCTTGCGAAGCTGTTACTATCATCATTCTCTTTAATATTACAGGGAGAGGCAACTCCGCAAGTGAGGGACAACTGACAATCACCAAATACAACTTGAACCAAAATTACAAGTAGTTTTAAATCATGGCAAGTGTAAATTCTACCTGCAATGGCAACACCAATAATTAATCAAAGATCTTTGAGAAGCACATAGACAAAAAGGAGAGAAATTAGCAAGCACTATTTATTAATACACTCCTAAAGTTTCCAACCGCAAAGATATTTTAAAAAACTGAATCCCCTCGGTATTTCAGGAATGTTTAGTGATGGATATGGAAATAGCTCAGTTAAATAGGCCTGTCTGTGATTCAGGAAATAGAAACAAGGAGAGACTCCAGAGACCAATTTGATTTTACGTTTTTATAAATCATGGAAGAGAGAGAGCACAGAAATGCCTCCATTTGCAGGGTGACTGATTGCTAACCCAATGACAACTCTGGGAAGATTCCCAAATGCGACATGACTAAGTAGAAAAGTAGCAGATGACTTTTTTGATAGGCAAACATAAAATGGAAAAAATTAAATGGTTCTTTATAAAGTAATAGGCTCTAAGCTCTCAGTTCTAAGTGCCTGTAGAATTTTACTAAGGAAAAAGCACAATGATAAACATCATCAGGAAGGATACTATAAACCATCAGGCACAAAATGAGTCCCCCAGAGTCAGTTTCTTCTACTTCTTCCCTTAATCAGTGATGAAAACAATGAACCCTACTCTGTCATCTTAACCTCTGCAAAACCACAAAGCATTTATTGTCACCGGACTACTTAATTTCTTGCCATTTAATCTCAAGAAAGCTACAAGAACCCCTGAACTTAAATTAAAAAAAAAAAAAGAAAGCTACAAGAGACTTATATAAGCCCCAAAAGAGACAATTAAAATGAGTAAAGCAAGGGAATGGCTTCTATTTGACAGCAAACTAACAAAAGGTCTTCTCAGGCTACTGAAAGATATGCCTGCAATCCATGAATAAGATAAAGTGACCTCAGACTCCACAGCAAATCCTGAAATGTAAGAAACTAAGAGATAATGCTTAGAGGCTACAAGGGGTAAATTCAGGACAAATCAAAAGCGTAACTTCGTGAAAAGGGTGTTAAACAACTTCTTATTCCAAGAGATGGTGCCAGAAGCATGATTAGGTACAGGAAGAACTTAGATAAATCCACATATGGTGGCTTTGGGGAAATCAGGGCAGTTCTGTGGGACAGAACTAATTTTTTAAAGCTGACCCGGAAGACAAGCAACAAATGAATGCTTCATGACATGATTGGGGCTGCCATCACAGAGAAGCCATTGAGAGCCCTTCCTGTGGGTCACTGTGGGAACAGGCGGAGCCTCCTTCCTGGCTGCACTTGGTGACTCTTGGATTTTCCATTCCTGTGCTGTCCACGGAAAAAGCAGACTTGCTCTCTCAACTCGTCTCTCCTCAAAACCTGGGTTCACACCTCATGTCTTTAGCTCAGGCAACTTCTAGAGCCTGGAGCATTCTTTTTTCCTCTCACCTTCTCCCACCCAGAACACCTACCTGGCCAACCTCTATTCATCTTTCAAGCCTGTGCAGAAGCACGGCTTCTCTAAGAAATGTTTCAAAAGCGACACAGCACTCCAAGAAGTGTAGGTGTGGATATCACAGGCTCTCTCAAGAGACTATCTGGGTCCTGACTGTGCCGCTGCCATTGCCTTGCTGTGTGACTCTGGGCAAGTTACCTAACCTTTCTGTGGTTCAGGATCCTCATCTGTAAACTGGAAATATTAATAATTACCTACCTCTAGGGGCATTATGAGGCTGGAATGTTGTGATAGAACAAGAAATATATATCTGGTTTTTGTCTGACACAAAACTCCTAAAACCCTTGGAATTTCCTGAGTAGATGGGGTGGGAGGAACATCTTTTTTATTAATAATAAGCTCCTTTCAAGCACACCTGAATTTATGCTAATAAGGTGACTCTTTTTTTTTTTTTTTTTTTGAGACGGAGTCTCGCTCTGTCGCCCGGGCTGGAGTGCAGTGGCCGGATCTCAGCTCACTGCAAGCTCCGCCTCCTGGGTTCAGGCCATTCTCCCGCCTCAGCCTCCCGAGTAGCTGGGACCACAGGCGCCCGCCACCTCGCCCGGCTAATTTTTTGTATTTTTTAGTAGAGACGGGGTTTCACCATGTTAGCCAGCATGGTCTCGATCTCCTGACCTCGTGATCCGCCCGTCTCGGCCTTCCAAAGTGCTGGGATTACAGGCTTGAGCCACCGCGCCCAGCCCATAAGGTGACTCTTGAATGGACACTGATTGCCAGAGAAACCAACCATGTAATTAGAGGATTGGAACTTTTAGCTCCATCCCAACCTCCTGGGAGGGGAGGACTGGGGATTGAGTTAATTATCAATGGCTATTGATTTAATCAACCATGCCTATGTAATGAAACCTCCATAAAACCCTAAATGACACAATTTGGAGGGCTTCCAAGTTGGCGCCACATACTCCCATCCCCATCCTTTGCCCTATGCATGTCTTCCATTAGGCTATTCCTGAATCGTATCCTTTCTAACAAACTGGTAATGGTAAAAGTTGTGTTCTGTGAGTCATTGTAGCAAATCATCGAACCTGAGGAGGGGGTGGGAACCCCCCCCATAGCCAGTCAGTCTGAAGTGCAGGTCACGACCTGGGACTTGCAACTGGTGTCTGAAGTGGGGAGAGTCTTGTGGGACTGAGTCCTTAACCTATGGGATCTGATGCTAACTCCAGGTAGGTAGTGAGTTAAACTGTAGGAGGTCCAGTTAGTACTCATTGGGAATTGGAGAACTGGCTGGTACAGAAAAAGACCTTATATATTTAGCATTACAAGTGTTGTGAATGTAGAGAAAAAAGGTTTTATTTTAGAACTGTAAAAGGTTTTTCATTTAAAGGACTTAGGATGGTGCCTGATATGTGGCAGGCACTCAACAAATATTGACTCATTATTGTTTGCCATGTGACTTTTTGTGCTGATTAAATATTTGTGAAATATTTAACCCAGAATCTGGCATGTAGTTAGAGCTCATATTACTAATTAAGTTCATTTCCAAAGACTGGATATATAATTTCAAGCACATATTTGTTTGGGGGGAAAAAAAAGCCTAGTCATTAACATCATTTGGCTATCTTGTGTGGCTTTTTACACAAGGAATTTTCATCTTTTTACTGCCATTATTAATAGAGAAGCCCCTTCAAGAAAATACCACCAACCCTGCTTATTACCATTTTTTGAGCATGTAACAATGAGTGTCTATTTCTTCTGCATTCATTAAGCACCTACTATGTGCCAGGCACCATGCTGGGTGCTGGAAACACAAAGAGGAATATAACTTAGCACCTGGCCCTCAAGGAGCACTCTTTCCAGAAGGTGAAGGTGGCGGGGGTTGCGGGGAGGGGGGTAGGGGTAGGGGAGACAGACAAATACATATTGACTGACAAATGTAATGAAGAAAAAGAAAGCTGATTAAAGAACTGGGGAATAGCAAACAGTCCTATTTTTGAAATGCTTTTTCTAGAATGAATACATAATGATATCTGTGTAGAGTTACATTTCATTCCATTCTTACATAATATTAAAAGATGTTTTAAAAAGTTAAGGTCATCACACTAATAAGAACAGCTTACTTTTTTTTTTTTTTTTTCAGGGATGGAGCATATGGTAGGCAGAATAATGGCCACCCCACCAAAGCTTTCTACAGCCTAATCCCTGGAGCCTGTTACACTACCTGGCAAAAGGGACTTTGTGGATGGACTTAAGGTTATCCCGGTAGGCCCAGTACAATCACGTGGGCCCTTAAAAGTGGACAAGGAGGGCCAAGCATGGTGACTTACGCCTGTAATCCCAGAACTTTGGGAGGCTGAGGTGGGCAGATCACTCAAGGTCAGGAGTTCAAGACCAGCCTGGCCATCATGGCGAAACCTCGTCTCTACTTAAAATGTAAAAATTAGCTGGGTATGGTGGCGTACACCTGTAATCCCAGCTACTCAGGAGGCTGAGGCACAAGAATTGCTTGAACCTGGGAGGCGGAGGTTGCAGTGAGCTGAGATCACACCACTGCACTCCAGCCTGGGCAATAGAGCAAGACTCTCTCTCAAAAAAAAAAAAAAAACAACAACAACACACACACACACAAAATGACAAGGAAGGCAAAAGAGTCAGAGGAAGGAATGTAGTA